ATACCTTCTTCAAAGAATTCATCCAAGCGGAGCCACCAGGCAGTGGGGCTTTAGATTCAGCACTTCCAGGGCATGGTGAGAATGGGGCCGTTGAGGCCGGGCGAGTGGGGGATCTTGCAGCCAGTTGACCTGCAGCTCCCCCGGAGCCTCAATATGCACGAACAGGGGCTAATTAACGTGACATGATGGTTGGTTTTGCACCATGGGCGAATGAAAGCCGAGTTGTCAAGACGATTCCAGGATACTATTGGACCATATTGGACCAAGTGTTCACATGTTGGATCATGTGCACTTCCGGTATCATGGAAGCAGACAAGAGTTCAGTTCACATTCTCAAGGGTCCTCACTCAAACTCAAACTATATTTTGTGTACTTAATTGATTTTGCTAACCCACAAAATACTGGATTCTTGGGGTGTTGCTGTTGCCAAAGACGGGGTTTTCGAAGCCTTCTGGGATACAGGGAGGCCCCGGTCTGTGTGGGTCACAGCAGCCAAGGCGCGAGGACCCAGACGCCGACACGGTCAGGAGGTGAAGCAGTCAAGCAAGATCCAAAGAAGCATGTGGTTCAGAAAAGGATTGCTGTCGTAAGGTCGGATCAAACGGAAAGGGCCCTCAGATCCCATTGAGGATCTTAACGCCCTTTTTGCTGAGCCATGGGAGCGGTGTGCCCATGCCTCGGACGAGGAAAGGAGGTGGAGCCTTTACCTTCTGATGCAAGTGGAGGAGACGACCAGCATGGCTGGTGCGTCATGCAAAATGGCCGCACAGCCATGGAAGATGCCGTTGACGTGCAAGACGGCTTCTTCGCCGTTTACGACGGCCACGGCGGAGCTGAAGCCGTGACCTATGTGAAAGAAGCACTCCCAAAGCTCTTGGGAAAGGAAAAGGGGCCAGATATGGGCCTCAGAATGAAAGAAGCCTTTCAAAAGGCTGATGCAGCGTTGTTGGGCCATTTGAAGCAAGATGAAGCAGACGTCCCGGACTACCTCCTGTCCTCGGGCGTATGTGCCTGCATCGCTGTGCGAGATGAACACAAGCTCGCTGTGGCCAACCTCGGAGACTGCCGAGCCTTGGCCTACAAAGGAGGATCCTTGACAGTGATGACGAAGGATCACAGGCCATGTGAGCCATTTGAACAAGAACGACTAACCAAGCAAGGGATCCAAACCACATGTGATGGCTACCTGGCAGGTGGCCTCGCGGTGAGCCGCGCCTTGGGAGATTTCACACGCTCAACATGGACGAAATGTCCAGGACTATTATCGGAACCAGACGTGACGGTCTTCTCGGTAGATGCCGACACGGAGTTCATCCTGCTTGCCTCTGACGGCGTCTTCGAAAGCATGACAAATTTGGACGCTGTCCAGTCGATCAGACGACAGTTGCGGAGAAACCTTGTTTTTTTGCAGAGCACGTGTTTAATTTGGTTGATTTCATCGTTTCCGTCCCTCAATGATTGATTGAATTGAATGACATCCTTTGTTTTCGCTTCTCCTGAGTTGTCGTGATCCATTTTTTTTCATCCGTTGAAAGCTCAGGAACACGATCCCCGCAAGCTGCGGCCGAGTCGCTACTGAAGCAAGCCCAGAAGTTGAAGAGTACTGACAATCTGAGCGCACTGGTAGTTGTCTTCCGGAT